ACCATTCACCTTCACCTGAAGCATAGCCACATTGTCTCTATGGACCTTAATGTAGGAGGAAATTACCTTGTGATTTTTTCTTGAGGATGTTCTTAAAATAAGATTTACTAGTTAGAAATATAGAAAAACTGGATTCATAAACATCTTTATGAAAAAGAAAAAGAAAAAAATGAAAGAAGCAAGGATGGAAGAAGGGAAATAGTCACTGGAACACATTTACTGCCGCACTATGAGACAAAACCATCCCAGGAGTACCCACCTCTGCAGCCCAGGGAATGGATCCTGTGAGGAACACAAGGAATGCACAGAAAGGCTCTTCTCCTTTACCCTGTTAAAGAGAGTCTTAGAAATTCTGAGATTCTAACAGGTGGTCCCAGGCGTAGAAACAAGCTGGGGTTCAAAAGTAAGGTTGACTCAGACTCTAGTATAAAAATAATGAAAATATTTTTGTTTTTATACAGTTTTCTATTGTGGGATAAAATAATAAAGTGTGGTGGAATGATAGTTGACCCATGGTTGATGACCTGTGGTTTTACCCTTGGCCCACACCCCATATAAAACAGTATTTAAACTAAGAACCCATTAAAATCAACCACAATTTTTCTCCCTTTTTCTTTTTCCTTTCTTTCTTATTCCTTTACCCATCTTTAACTTAGTGCCTCTTCCTTGGTTTTTCAGGCTCTTGCTAACTTCAAAGCATAACTATGAATGTTAGCATTGATTAATATCTTCACCAACAGTTTCCTGGTGCGAATCCCAGAGCACTCTAATCATTTACTCAAAGGTTTCTTTATGGAATGTTGATGTCAGCAAATGACCTTCTTACAATTGACATTCCAAAGGAAATACAATATTCTCTTAACTAAAAGGGCAAGGTTTTGTACCCATGATGAAGATGAATTTATACATGCAATCATCCATTTGTTTTCTCTTTGGGGAGTGAATTACACTTAGAAACAAGAACTTTTGTGACCTGATATTTTAAGAAGGAGATTAAGATTATATGTCCTACTTAATTTTAATAACACGAGTCTTCTAACCCAACTGCAGTAGAAAGCATTGCTGTAGTATTGACACACATGCTTATCCCAAAAATGATTTTTCTTTTGGGTAAAAATAGGTGATTAAATGGGCATTAAGTGAAACCAATGTTTCAATTGATTTTTTTAAAATAGCTTGTTATTTTAAAAAGGTAGATCTATTTCATCATATGACCAAGTTTACCATAACTTCTAAGAAGAAGAAAGAAAATGACAATTTGTTTGTTTTTCTGGGTAGTAAATTTCCAGTAGTAGATATTTACAAGTTGTATGTTAGCAGCCTAAAATTTTAAGAGGAGAATAAGTTTTCTTTTAGTGTCAGTGATGTACATTTTACACATATTGGAAGTGCATTTACTGGCTTGCTTATTTTAAAAATAACCCTAAAATAAAATTATTATTTTTGTACCAACGTATGAATAATTTCATGCCCATGCCTTTTGTTCTGTTGGTTACAAGTCTATCTCCTATTCTCACTAGGTTATAATTGCCTTGAGGTCTAAACCTATAACTTCCTGTGCTTCCATATTTATAAAATCATATCACAGGGCTTATTTCATGAGTATTCAATAAATAATTGTGGAATTTATTCTGCTACTCCATTGTCATTTTTATTGCTAGTAGCTTACTAGTTTCCACAAAATTAGATTTCATAAGAAATTTTTACCTTTTATAAATAATAAGACTGAAGTAAAAAATTTACCTAGTGGAAAGAATTTAGAATTTAAAATCAGAAAGATTGAATTGGGCAATGTAGTAGTCAGTCAGTGTTTTATAAATTGTGCTGCAGATATCTTGGTAGGATATAATTTTTTAAGTAAAGAGATTAGGAAAGGATAAAACATTTCATATTATTTCTAGAATTTTTTAAAATTTTAGTTCTTTATATATAAATGTATGAAATAGCCAGGTGCAGTGATGCATGCCTGTAATCCCAGCGGCTTGGGAGGCAGAGGCAGGAGGATCATGAGTTAGAAGCCAGCCTTATCAACAGTGAGGCACTAAGCAACTCAGTGAGACCCTGTCTCTAAATGAAATAAAATAGGGCTGGGGATGTGACTTAATGGTCGAGTGCCCCTGAGTTCAATCACTGGCCCTCCCCTGCAAAATGAATAAATATATGAGTGTGTGGTTTGTGTGTGTGTGTGTGTGTGTGTTTAATTGAGTAGCAATGCAAAATTTAGGCTGTTGTAAAAGAAATGTTTATAAAACAGATTTTTGGGCATTTGAATGTTTTGAACAATTTTGAGCATGGAATTCCCCATCCACAAAATGGAGTTAACGGTAACTATTTGGGGGGTTTATCCTGAAGATTAATAGTAATACATATAAAGTACTTGCAAAGTATCTATTTTATGTAGAATACAAGCAAAAGCTTCCATCTTTTATCAAACCTAATACATTTAAAATTTATTTGATTAAGACCCTTTCAAATGTGCATAGAAATGCATTAAGATTTTAAATTCAAGAAACAAATTTTTAGAATACTTTCTCATTTGTAAGAGAATGATTTCATAAGAGAATGATTTTTTAAAAGCATTGCTTAGTTAATTCACTGTTTATCGATTTTTTTTCTTTGAGGTCCTTGCTTTTCAATTCAATAGAAGTGTTTTTAATTTAATCATCTGTTCACTCAAGTAATATTTTAAAAAGTGAAATAGAAGGATCAAGAGATTTTTGAAGAGAAGAAACTTTTTCTATGAAGAGCAGTTAAAGAATCTGGAGAAAGCATACAAAAAATCCTATGTAGGATAATACTAATTTCATACATGGAAAAGGTTGCCTCATGCCAGAAAGATTAAATGTATTCTTGGGGGAAGGAAGAATGAATATCAATTTATTGAAAGTTATGAGATAATAGAATTCAGCTCAAAACTGGACAGAATTAAACTTGACACTTGTCCTGAATCATTATAACTACCTCAGAATGATGTTTCTCTGAGATGACCTGCAGCATGTGGTCAGACTGCATATCATCTAAACTGTCTTTTACCTTAAGGATTTTGTGACTATTAGACTGGCTTTTATAGGCCACACATCCTGATAGGCCATATACTAATCTTGTATTTGATGTTGTAACATATGCAAATCAGGTATGTTTTGCACAAGTGGAACAAAAAATTAAAATCCAAAAGGAAAGGCTAAAGATTTTGCATGTTTTCATCTATAAAAGAATCCTTGGGACTGGTGTTGTGGCTCAGTGGTAGAGTGCTCGCCTAGATCATGTGAGGCACTAGTTTCGATCCTCAGCACCACATAAATATAAATAAAAGAAAGGTATTGTGTTCAACTAAAAAAAAATTTAAAAAAAGAATCCCTGATTTTTTCAGGTCAGATTTTCATAAACTTATAACCACTTTGCTTACCCCTGACGTTCCTCTGAGCATCTTCCATTTGTTAATTTCATTTGTTTTGAGTGCTTAATTACAAACATAAGTACACAAGAAGTCTGTCCATCTGGTCATTTTTAGCAGTTCTGCTGGTGTGAGTTTTGAAGCAAGTGTAGACAGGATTGAAGGTTGTATGCATGGGAACACCTCCAAGGAAGAAAGTAGGGGACAGGGGGAACCAGGGGCTTCTGGAAGGAAAGTGCTAATTCTAAAGGAAGATGACAGTATCCCCAAGAATTAAATCAAAAAGGGGTTATGGTGATTATAGGAGAGGATTTTTTTTCTATGCCCTTTAGGGATTGCTTCAAGTAGTTTTACATCTTCTTGGGAAAGTCAAATAACTCAAAGAACACCCTAGATCATAATACAGTTTTAACACTTGAAAAGTATCTGCACGCTCTTAACCAATTCATAGATGAGGAATTGAGTTGTTAAATAGGTGATTGTATAAGTAATAAAGAGCTAGGATCAGAACGTAAGCTCTTGACTTTGAATCTGTTTTTCTAATGATAAATAATTGTCCACAAATATTTTCCCCTGCATCTGATGGCCACACAGGCAACTGAACATTTCCTTCAGGTATTTTAGCCAAGGATCACAACTTAGTCTATAATATTATAATTTCCAGTATCAATAGGATCAATGTATAGTAGGTTTTTTCAGAATGGATCATAGAACCGAATGAGGCCTTAGAGGTCTTCTTACTCAGAAATCTTCAAAATGTTATTTTAACACTGAAACCCTTTGTATGAACCAGATTTTAAACTAGATGATCTAGTTGAAATATTGAAGTAAGTATTAGGACTCTAGACCTTTCCTGGCCCTATCTCTCACTTTAACCACTATGCAACCACTAAGCTACCAAGAAATACCATAATTAAAAATAATAATTCATTAATTGTTTTACAACTGCATTTTCCTTGAGTGCAGGAAAAAGAAAATTATTTTAGGATATCAGAAAACTCCGCTTTTAAGTGTGTCAAAAATAGCCTTTAGGGGTGGATTGTAGTAAGCATGACTCCAGGGCAATCCAGAGGAAGGGAAGATATAAATTATAAGTTAATTGGCCTTCCTGCTGCCCAAAACAGACATTTATCAATATTAAGCAACTCAAGAGCATAATTTCTACCATTTCTCATACCTTTCCCAAACAAGATCTGTTAAAATAGACATATTTCTCTGAATATAAAATAATGACTAGTGCCGATATGAAATAGTTTTGTGTAAATGCCTAATAGTGACTTTTTAGAGACTTCTGCAAAATATCAGTTCGTTTGGACAGGCCACACTATATTTGACAGAAGAGGCTGGTTTTCCTTTTCATGGATCATCTGAAACCACCAGGAACCTCCAGGGCTTTTCCAGGACGAGGTTCATTGATTCTGAGTAAGGGAAATGAAGAGGGGGGCAGGATCAAGCTATGATTTACATTTACCCATCTGAAAACTTAGTCTGAGGCCAGGTTTAGTTGTTACTGATGTTTTTAATGATTGCATTGCCAGTGAGCTCATGTTTATAATCTCCCAGGACCTGAGGCTCCCTTAAGATGGTAGCATATTTATAACCTGCTTCAATGCTTTTTGCGTCCTGAATCCATGACTGAACGTTTCATTTTATCTGATGCTTCCTTATTTGAAGACTCCTCTTGCCCAGTTCCACTTACCAGCCTAGCACAGGGGGGTAACTCTCCCTCGGGAAGGAAGTGAGTCTGTGTGCCAGTGGTTCCAATCACCAGCACATTTTTCTTCAAATCAATGGAACACTGATGTCTCCTGAGCATATCTAGTCCTAGAAGTATGTCCATGGGCTGCTCCTCGAGAATGGAAAAAGAGCATTGTAAGAAGTCACCTTCAATTTGAATCTGAGATAGATGAATGCGGCCAATAATCCTTTGTGTGCCCACTCCCTTAGCAACTCCAGCCCATCGTCGGTCCACCAGCCTAATTATGTTACATCTGTCAGCACAAGCTTGACTCATGATGGTCATTTGGGCTCCTGAGTCAACAAAAGCCTTCAAAGGATATCCATTCACTTTGCAGTTGACATAGAGCATTGCCACTTGTCCGAAACTCTCCGGGGCCTCTTCCATTGCTATATTCATGTTTTCTTCGATGTTCTGCTGCCGAATCTCTTCTTCTATTCTGGCTTGAGCATCCAGATCAAATGGATCAGAAGAATAAAGGCGAAGTCTCTCTTGCTCTCTCAAGGATCTTTCCCTTTGCTGCTCCATCAAGACCTGAGAAAATGTCTCAAGGTTTCCGCTGAGCAGTGCTTCCGCCAAGGTTGGGTTGCGTTCCTTCAGCAGGGACAGATCATGAGGACTCGAAAGCAGCATACTGCGAATTAAAGTGGGGCTGTCCAGACCTTGAGAAGAAGTCATCTTCTCTCCAGAGGCCAAGCCATGGGACTGCTGTACAGATGATGCACGTTTCTGATGCTGGTGTTGGTGCTGGTGCTGGTGCTGGTGCTGGTGTTGGTGTTGGTGTTGGTGCTGTTGCCTAGAGTTTGAAGTCCCAGGCACTGCAGTCCCACCAAAATCTACTCGGGGCTGATTTGGGGTCCGTCCTACAGGCCGAGATCCCACATTATCCTTTTGAAGTAAAACAACAACATCGCCGTCTTTGAGGCCATAGGAGCCCAGGGAATAGTGGTCGTCTGCCAAGATGCGCTCCATGTGGAAAATCTGGATCTCGTCGACGGGGACTCCAGACTCAAGCTCACAAAGGACCCGAAAGTTGCAAAGCTCAAAGTCAGGGCTGACCTGGAGGGAGAAGGTTGCCTCAGAGAGGTCCCTTCGCACACAGTACACGGTGATCAGCATGGCATGGGCCCAGGGAGGCCAGATGGGTAGAAAGCATTGGATGGTTCACTGGCTGACTGGAGCTGGTTTCTGTTGATGACACGGCTGCTCCTCACGACTTGGTGTGTTGCTCAGACTCATTCACCTCTCAAAGAGGTACAGCCACTCACCAGTCTGGGGGCTGCCTCCCAGCCTCAGTGCCAGCCACTGGGCCCCATGGAGCCCTGAGGCAACAAGCTCACTTTTATATGTGCCACTTGGAACTTAGAATGCCCATTTCCATAGATACAAAGAAACCCAAGGCCATGAGATTCCAAGCCCAAGCCCTTCAAAATCTACTTAATGCGTGATATGAAAAGATCATTTCAAGTCTTCCTGAACAGCATATTAAAGTTGATTTTGTTCATAATGGAATTATATTATTTGTACTTTTATTTATTCCCCAAACAGTGATGGCTTGTGTCCTACATGGCAAGAACCGTGCTATGTGCTTAGTCAGATAGGTCAGGTGTGATGCCTACTCTTGAAAAGTTTACATTCTGGAAAAGGGTGGATGGGTGAATCCGCAAATCACAATCCTGGAAGTAAGTACTTTTACTAAGATTTGTTCAGTACTCTAGTACTACCAGTAGAACGGAGGATGTTCCTCCAAGGAGGAGACACACTGCATGTTGAAGGATGGGCATTTTCCTGGTAAAAAGTAGTGAGTCACTCCACACCAAAGGAGCTGCATGTAAGACACCAAGATTTCATGACAATGTCTGTTATTTAGAAAGAAAGGTGAGATGCTCAATGTAATTGGAGAAATTCAGGTCTGAAATTTAGTGGTAGCTCATGAAGCTGAAGAAGACCATTGGATTGGAGCCAATTTATAAAGTCATATATTGAAGCCAAGGAATTTAAAAATTATCAATTATCAAGAATCACCACTAGAAGAAGGAGGAGGAGGAGAGATGGAAGAAAGGGAGGGAGAAAGAAAAAGTGTAGAAAAAAATTGAGGCTGGTATTTGTGTTTTTTTCATTTAATCAACTAAATAAAGAGGCTTCTTGCAACATATAGAGGATATACCATGGCAGAAGAGCCCGTTAGGAGGCTTTTTCAATCATTCAAGGAGAGAACTGTTGATAGCACCTGAAGACCCAAGGAAACTGAAGTCCAAGCAGTGGAGAAGAAATGGGCTTCTTGAGTAGAGTGGACAAGGACATCTTTATCCTTTGGATGGGAAAACTGTCAAACAGAGAATGTGGATAACAGAGGGTCTCCAAAATAGGAGACTGGGTACAAGTAAGCCATTCCCTTGAAGGGACAAGTGAGAACTTTGAGATGACTAATTTCACATTGATTCTGTAGTAAAATGCATACCTCCTTCAAGGTCAGATACACCTCTCTTGACCCTAAGGCAAAACTACCACCTCCATCCCTCACATAGCATAAGCAAATGCATGCACACAACACACACACACACACACACAACACACACACAACACACACACACACATAGTAAAGGCTCTCATGATGAAGGTATAAAATCCTTCTGTGTAGATGGTACAGTATTTTCTCCATATCTTGTGGATTATTTCTCACATGAGCTCGTTCTTCCCCAGTATGCATACTTATGAACCAAAACATAGTCAACATCCTCTGCCTGGACTTCTTTCTTCATTTCATGTTTTGTCAGAAGGCCTGCACCATTATATAGAGAAGGGTATTGTTCAGGCTAAAAAATGATGATGACGATCATCATCATCATCATCATCATCATCATTGGTTCTCTTTCATCTGTTTGTTTCAAATGAAAGACTGTGTCTCATCTATTTCTCTAATTATCATAATGTTGCCATACATTTGTTCTCATTAGAAATATCGATTAAATGCCAGGATATGTGCAGCACGTGCTGGGGCCTGGGGAGACAGACATGAATGTTAAATCTAGGTTGGTTCTTAAAGGAGTTCGCTCTTGAGAAGAGGGCACACACACATTTGGGAGGTAAAACAATAGCATGATAGAAGCCAGCACAGTGTGGGAGAAATCAATATCTGGAAGCTGCAGAGGGCTATCAGGAAGGCTTGCTGGGAGAACGGGGCTTAGCAAGATGACAAGGAGTCAACCATGCAGGGTTGAGAGGGGGTGGAGAAATCAAGGCTCAGGAAGAGGCTGGCCTTGTTTACAGGCTTTAGTAGAAAGTTAGCACCTTGAAACATGAATATTTTATTAAAAAATTAGGGTAAAAAATATAACATTATAATGCCCTGTAGAATATCAAGTTATTTAGAGACATTTTACACTGGTTTTAAAGATGATTAGAACTTTGACCCAGTAACATCATGTTTTTCAATTTCTTCTGTGGTTCTTAACATCCTGATGAGGTCATCAGAGACCAGTGTGATTTCTCCTGAGTGTGGGAGCAGATATGATCAATCAGACAGCACAAGCAAACTACTCAAGAACAGACCGAGAAGCTAGCAAAACTTAGTTTCAGTTTTCTTCTTTTTAATTCCCCAAGCAGATTTGTCTTCAGTTAAATAGATTACTACTAGGGCTTTGTTTTTTCAAACAAGTGAAATTATTTTTATAGGATAATTTTCCTTTTGTAAAGAAAAAATGAGGGTCCATAAAACAAACAAATACCTTTTTCTTCCATATTACCATTGCCAGAATACCAAACATAATTAAACTTAATGCGCATATTATCTTTTTTTTTTTTTTGGTACCGGGATTGAACTCAGGGGTACTTGACCACTGAGCCACATCCCCAGCCCTATTTTGAATTTTACTTAGAGACAGGGTCTCATTGAGTTGCTTAGTGCCTCACTTTTGCTGAGGCTGGCTTTGAACTTGCAATCCTCCTGTCTCACCCTCCCAAACCACTGGGATTACAGGTATGCGCCACTGCGCCTAGCAGTGTGCATATTATCTTGCTGTAACTCTTTACTTCTGGTGGCCTTTTACTGTTATGTTATTTTTAATACTTTACCTTTTATTGAGAACACACACTGAAAAGTAAAAAGCTTCAATGTCTGGCCAATTAACATTATTTCATAAATCACAGAATGTCAGGATTGGCAGGAATCCTTTAGGTCCTCTGGTCCAGCCACCCAGTCAGGCTTTAAACCTCTGTTGCAAAACAGCTGGATTCTAAAGACATAAGCAGTCTCCCGGGATGTTTCATATTTCTGTTTTATGCAGTGCTTGATTCTTTCATTTTACTCAGCACTATTGGTGATAGCACATGTGTAATTCTCTTAACTCACATTTTAATTAAAAACCCCATCTGATTATGTAATAAATTTGAAAATCCTTGGGAGTATATATAAATACTCCTAAATATGAAATGCTGTGTAACATGGTAAAACCATAAATCCCTATTGCACACACTCCTTAGGAGTGGCTGCTCTGAATTATCCAGGCTTATTAATCTTGTTAACTGAAGGCTATTACAACTTTTCTCAAGGAGTTCTTTAAGTATTTTCACTGGCTTTTCTTCCTTGGCAAGTGCAGTATAAGAACATAATTGAATCTTTCTTTGATAAGTGAGACTCCTGCAAGGTCTCAGGGCTATCACTCAGAAAATCAATTCTAATTGTATAGCCTAAATACGTGGAAAATAGAAGAGACAGCAGTGATTTTTATACTAGCTCAGTAAATAACCCTAAAGTTATTTTTTGGAGTAAACTTGCAGTAATACGTTTTATAATTTGCCTCTTTGTAAAAACTTAATGCAGCAAAAAGATCAGATAATTGATGGTCCCATTTAGTACAATCAGTCGATGTTTAAAGCACTGCTTATTGCTTTACATAGTAAAATAAATGTGGGTTTTATGGAAAAATGAGTATTTGAATAAATGTCATTATGAAATAAATACAATAAAAACTTATATATATGTATACACACATGTATATATGTACACACACACTCTTGTTCTTTTGGGATTCTTTCCTTTAAATATGTGCATGGTATTATTTTTAAAGTGTAACCAAGACTTATTAAGCCAGGAAAATTATCATTTTATATTTTCAATGCAATTTAGGAAAGAGGTAGAATTTTCAAAGCTGTAGCCTTAGGTTAAACAACTAATTTTTCCACTGTTCTTCCATTTGCTTTACAATAATACAATAAGTTGTGTAAAACAGTCATGAATGAATAACATTATTGCATCAGATAGTTAATTATTTAATAGATACATTAAAACATGAAAAATCTTACTATTACCTGTCTTTGAAGTTTAAATGTCATAATAAGACCTGTAAAATAAACATATAAACATATGTGATTGAAGGAACTCATGAGACCTGTGAATTTAGTTTTGTCAATCTGTTACGAGCTCAGCAAATGGTTTCTCTTCACTGTAATACAAAACTTGAACAGAGGATAAACACAAATGAACTCACATATGTACACAGAAACACAGAAAAAGAGAAACACAGAGGACACCAGTTGCAGAACATAGTTTTGAATACATTAAAAGTATAATTAAAAGGTTATGTCATTTTCCTGCAAGAAATATTTTCATGGTACACTTTATTGATGCATTATATAAATTATTTGTTTTATGTATCATGAAAAGAGATTCATTGTAATTTACATAGTGCATGTAGAAATAATATATAAATTTAATCTCTTGAAAACTTTTGGCATTTTCAAAATATGTACCTAAGTCTGTGTGTGTGTGTGTGTATGTATGTGTGTAAAAGAAACTTTGGTGCCATGATTTTGTTCTTAGGGTTCCTTCTGATGTCTTCATTGTAGAATAAAAATCAGTCTGATCTCTAGGGCTTATGCCTTAAAGACTTGAAGAATATTTCTAATTTGTGTGGTAAGCATTTACAGATTACATAAATTTAATAAACAAATTAAAAGCAGTATAATAAGGTTTTATGACTTAGTGGATTGACATTTTGTTTCTTGACTTTTAATATACCTTAGAAAAGGAATGTTCACATATTCCTATGATGACTCTGTGAAAAATAACCATGTAATACAAAAATAGTAATAGTGACAATAGGGCCTGAAGTTTTGAA